TTATGAAATGCCTGATGTGGTTACAAATACATTTCTAGTAAACTCAATATTTGGTGGAGTATTGTTTTATTTTGGTGCGAATAAATCATTTGTTTCAACTATGTTTCGTGATTGCTTGAAAAATAAGACTAATAAGTAATTAAAAATTAATTTGTTGTTTATTAAAATGTTAATAAATAACTAGAAGTTAATTAATAAGATTATATAATTATGCTAAAATAATTATATTAATTATTTAATATTAACTTGATTGATAAATTCTCAAAGATAATTCTAATGCTTTAAATTATTAATTTAATTGGATGATCTTTTATTCAAATAAAGAACCTTCTATATTAAGGAAAAGATTTCATGCCTATAAACAGGGATAAAGACTAAAAAGAGTAATAGACTAAATTCTAAAACAAGAAATAATAACTTATGCCGCTTACACTTCTGATGGGGGAAGTCCAAAGATCAAAATGAACAATTTCATAGAAGAAACATGTGTGTTTAAACTATCAAAAAGTAAAAAACATGTTTTTCAAGATGATAAGCACGACGAGACAAACTCACGTTCATTTTATTACATGAGATAAAAATGCTATATAGTAAAGAATCAAGGAGAGCGACAAGACACCTAGACTGAGTGGCTGGATATAAGTCACTTAATTTGTCACATCGAATGAGCATCTGATAGATACAAAAATCCATCACAAAAATCGAATTTTGTCAAATTCATAGTAAGTTATTATCTTTGGTAAATTGGTGGACATATATGACATTTTTAGTGATAAGGGGTGTGATAGGGACCTTGTTTAGATGCAAGGGTTGGTGGAATATGGATTTTTGGTTTGTCCGGTGTTGCTGACGAACATGGATGAGCCATACCAAACACTGCTTGAATTAAAAATGGTCATTTAGAGCTCATAAAAGATAGTGTAACTATGTCCGGGGAAATATGAGATGTGGCACAGGTAGAGGTGAGCAAAACCGAACTCGAATCCAAAAAACTGACAAAAACCGATAAAACCAAAACCAAAACCAAAAAAATGAAACCACAACATAAAATGACGCTTTGGGTTTGAGTTTTTCTAAAATTGAAAATTTTAGTTTGGGTTCGGTTTTGGAAATTTTAGAAATCGGAAAAACAGAACCAAATCGATTTATGAAATTATATATATAAGGGTAAATTACACCAATCGTCCCTCGTGCATATGCCAGAAAGCGTGTTTAGTCCCTATTTTCAAAAATTAACTCGGACCGTCCCTCGTATCGTTAAAAGTTGTACGTTTGATTCTTCGTTAGTTTAAATTTGCACGTTTAATCCCTTATGACACATAAAAAGACTAAAATGCCCTTTTCCTTTACCTTTTCATTTATTTTTAACATTTTTGACATTTTTAATTATTAAATTTTATTTTAATTATTTTTCTGTTTTGTTGAAGACATGACCACCACCACCACATGTAATCTACACCACCTTCGGAAATTATAGCACCATCACTAACCCTCCCTGGAAAATAGAGCATCACTGCCACCCCTCACTTCATCCCATCCACTCCTCCGTTCAAAGCAAGTGTTTCACTAAAAATAACTAAAAACTACCACCTTATTCACCGAACTAGCACCTATACTCAAACCACCATTGAACCATCCACATTTACTGTTAACACCACCAACAGCCTTCATCGGAAAATCCATCAACAATTTAGGAAAGAATAATCAAGGCAGATAAAGAAGGAAGACTCAGGGTATGACAATGTTAAATTCGAAATCAGGAAAGGATTTAGGGTTCTTAACCTGAAAGCAGGCGGCGACAGAGATGGAGGAGGAGGAGATGAGCGACGGTGATGCAAATCTGATTACTACTGGATTGTCTCTGGTAAGGCTTCAACGAGACCTTCTTTGTTGCCACCATCATCATCTTCTTCCCTATCGATATTCGTATATGCCACCACCGTCTTAAACGAGTTTGAATAAAAGAACCATATGCTCCTTTCTTTGATTTCAAATGACTCAATCTCGATTTCTGAAATGCCTCCATCAATGTGAGATAAAGAACCGTGACATAGGGTGTCGGAACCACCGTCTATGTAAAATTGGAGCTCTATTTGGGGATTTCATGTGTGATGGTACGAGAGAGAGGGAAAAAGAGACAGAAATTAAGGTTGGTGGTTGTTAGAAGATTGACGGAGATGAAGTCATCATTGCCACTTTTGTGCTCTCATCTACACTCCTCCTGGTGGCCGGCAAAGGTGAAAGGGGATGTTGGGAAACTGAAGGGAAGAAGTAGGGTTGAACGTGTAATTAAGGCGGGGGGGGGGGGGGGGGAGGGGGTATTTATTTTATTTTATTCCTTTTTTAATTCTAAAAAATGATAAACAAATAATAAAAATATAAAAAAAGAAAATACTAAGGGTAAAATAGTCATTTTATGTCTTCAAGGACTTCCCAAGTGAAAAAAACATAATACAGGGACGATCCGAGTTAATTTTTGAAAATAGGGACTAAACACGCTTTTTGGCATATACACGAGGGACGATTGGTGTAATTTACCCTATATATATATATATATATATATATATATATATATATATATATATATATATATATATATATTATTCTAATGTAATGGAAGTTAGAAACAAGTACTAAGTTGTCCAGGAGGTTACAAGGGTGTACAATCAAAACAAATGCTCTAGGTTCAAATCTTGGATGTAACATTATGTGTTTTATTTTGTTTCGAAATAGCTTATCCCAAATCCATGCCAAGTTGTTTCTTTTAATTCTCAACTTGTCCAACATTGGACAGAAAATGAAACACATGTCATATTCATCTGTTATATAAGGCAAGACCAACTAATCAATTCTCACTTAGCTAAGTTTCAAATGGGTTTGGGTTTAAATCCGAAATCGAACCTGGAAAACTAAAAACCCGAGAAACCGAACCCATCAGTTTAGGTTTAGGGTTTAGTTTTAAATATTTTAAAACCGATCCATCGGGTTGGGTTCGGTTTTGGATCCAAACTGACGTATGCTCACCCGTAGGCATGAGTATCCATATACCATCCAACATTGGTCGGGTCTTAAAGCACAATTGTGGAGAAAACATTAGGTACGTTGTTTGTCTAGTAGTTATTAGAGCATCTCCAACCCACTCCCATTCTCCATTTTTTCCTCCATTTCTTCCCCCATTATTCTCCAACCCTCCCCCATTTTGGGGGATATGAATAGTATTACACAAAATATGGTGTTATACTGTTCATTACTCCCAAAATAGGGATGAACTTTGCGTTGTCAGTTTTAGTCTCTCTCTTTATATATTTATACATTTCTAGTTCATTTTACCTACTAATTATAATTTAAATATAATATGGAATACTTATAATATTTTGTTATATATTAAATTATATTCATTAATTATAAATATAAAGTTTGTTTTTTGTTCATCAAATTCATATAAAAGTTTAAATATATATTTAAATTTTAAAAAACGATAACGTATTTTACAAAAACTTATAATTAAAAGTGTGTATGTCTAATATTTATATAAATGTATTTATAATATTTATTTAAAATTTGTATGTGTAATATTTTTTATAAATGCATGTATAATATATATTTATAAGTTTATTATAAATATAATCTTTTGTATTTAATATTAATGTAATTAAAAAATATAAATTATATATTTGTTAAAACCAAATTATTTAGAGAAGTGTGTTTGACAATTTATGTAAGTTTGAATAATAGGATATACTAGGAATATACTTTTTGGGGGTAAAAATGGGGTAAAAAATGGAGTAGGGTTGGAGATGAAATACTATTTGCCCCATTTTTTACTCCATTTTTTGGGGGAAAAATGGAGATGGGTTGGAGATGATCTTAGTTGTAGGAGAAAACTATTGCCAAGGTGGAGTAATGGGAACAATATATGTCGAAGTGTTGAACATGATTGGAAGACCTGCTATTGGGCGGCTTCGTGTAGGTTTGAGCACACTATTTTGTTGTTATGGTTAAGTTGTTGTTGCAGATTGGCAACTGACAGTTGATAAACAACCTATAAAGGTAGTGAACTCCTGCTGAAGGGATGTCATGGCATCGGGTAGGGTTGCCAAGGACAACGCTAGTGTTTGAGACAATGATACAAATGTCATATGGTTTTGCTGATCGATATGTCCTCCCTGTAGGTTATTGAAAAACATATATTATTATGATGCTTGTTTTTAATGAGTTTTGAGTGAGGTTTAAGGTAACATAAGTTTGAAGGATGGTGGGGAAAGATGTTGCTCCTCGAGAAGGAGCATATACCAAGTTATGTGACAACCCATTGATCAGTATGTCACTAAAGTATTCTTGGGTACCAAAGCATCAATATTTTCTGAAATATCATAAATGTTTCAAAGTTTATTGTTGAGTTCAATTGCACAACATCCTTAAACACTGAACCCTTTTTGAGTATCATAGTAAGAAGTGATTGTGTGATGGTTCCATAGATCCACATCTTGACCAAGGAATCTCGTTTGAACCATTCAGAGTTCGTCGGGATAGTGTGTGTCGAGGATCCATCAAAAATTTTCAGCATCGATTATTATATGAAAATATGATTCAAATGGGAGGTAACTATTTTTATCAATGCATAAATTTTCAGCCATGCATCTATTTAGAGAGATTCTGTCTTGCAATCTCAATGTAAATTGATAATTTTGAATATATATATATATATATATATATATATAGAGAGAGAGAGAGAGAGGTAAGTTATACTGAGAACACGAAAAAGGATGAGAACAGTCCATTTTTGTTACTTTTTCAAAATTATGTCCTTAAAATGTAAAATGTTAAAATAGTTTATCTCCTTAATTTATGCAATATTAAATTAGGGTATTTTTTATTTATGCAATATTAAATTAGGGAACATGATATACTTTTAATTAGACTAATTAGACTGATAACACGTATCCCAATTAACCGTACCTACTTTCTTCATATACAAAATATCCGGCTTATTTCCTTCGATTCGTCTTCTTCCTTTCACCTCTCATTACTTACAGTACAGTTCCAAGTTTGTTTTTTTTTGGTTATCCGATGATTTGCAAGAATCTTTAAGCTGGAATTAGGGGATCGTTCTACATTAGTTTCTTTCACATTACATATCAATTATCCCGTGGGTTTTGCAATTCGATGATATGCAACCAATGTGATGCTGGAAACATTGGGATTCTTCAATATTACTTGCATTTTATCGTTAAAGATCGTCGATATAAAAGCTTATGGAGGTCGAATTTGAAGGAGGTTATGCATTCGGGAATCGCACAAGAGGTAAGTTCCTTTTACGTTCACTGTTAACCTTTTTTTAATCATATACCTCGATTTTGTATACTTTGTATACAATGTTTTACATTAGTTTGCAATGTATACTTTCGATTTTTTCAAACGGTTCATGGAAGATTTATGACCTATTTTCTCATCTATATGTTCACTGTTAGCTTTTTTTTAATCATATAAATCGATTTGCAAAAGCTTGAATAATGTTATTGGGATCACTATGTTGTTAAATTCAACTACAACTCATCGATTGAGATGAGTTTGCCATGTAGATGGTCTGATTATGTAAATATTGCCACGGGTCTTATTAGCCATTATCTCACACTTAGGTGTTACCTGCTAAAGTGTTTGCATTATATTTCTTAACCATAGACTCCATTTACATGTATGTTATTTCCGTTTTATTATTATGTTGCAATTTGCATTATGTTAATTTGTGTAGTTAACAGTAAGATTAGAATTATGTATTTGTTATCATGTATTATCTTATTGGCTCTAATTTCATGCTTATGTGTTACATGTTAAATTGTTTGCACTATATTTATTCACCATAGATTCCATATAAATGTATGTTATCTATGTTTTATTCATATGTGTAAATTTGCATTATGTTTATGGGGGTAGTTAACAGTAAGATTAGACTTATAATTTTGTTATCATGTATGAACTACAATAGGGCGCATGAAAAGTGAGCATATCCATAACAAATACTTACTAATGAAATACAAGAATGATCCTTCAAATCCAATAATGATAGATATCGATGTAGATGCATCTGATTCTATCAGGATTACCCCCATACCAACCACTGCTAAAGCTGGAGTTCTGACTCAAAGGTCGAGATCCAAACCTGTTTCAACTGTGAAACCAATTCAAAATGTAGGTAGTTTTTATTTTTATTATTTTTTGAATTAGTTATCACACTAAAAAGCATATTCTTCATTATTTTTTATTATGCCTCAGTATCAATACAAGGTCTACATTCCGGACATAGTGATTCTATTGAAGTGCTTCATGAAAATCGTTCAAAGCAGAAATGTGATCCACATTCCAACTCCCATTCACCTGTGCATGGTTATACAAAATCAGGTAGCTGATTAACATTGTCTTTCTTTAAATTGCTAGTATAATTCATTCATCTTATTTACTATTGTTTGACTGTTTCATTGTATTTTCCACCCAAAACTACACATATATTAGAAAAATGTTGGTTACGCCTAAAGAGAAACCGTAACCATCACGTGATGAATCATATTTTAAAGACCCACACCCAGTTATCAGCCAAAATAAAACGAAATCACCTCCACTTGTAATAGCCAAAGTTGTGCAACATCAGGAGAAGAAAGCTAGAGTAGATGTGGCCAACCCTCAAGCAATTAAGACAAAAGTTAAAGTCAAGAAACTGGATAATAGAAAATCAAAGAAGGGAGTTCATGTGGGTATTCCAGCACAACCAAGGCGAATACGTATTCGTACATCACCAAAAATGTTATTCTCCACAATGCACTGTCTGACGAATGGACAGAAGGAATATTTATCATCCATTGGATTTGGTCAACTTTTAAATATAAAAGTAGATGGGTCGGCCTCACGAATTGGGTACTATATGGTCAACAACTTTGACCCTGAACGCATGGTATTGAATGTCGATCGGGGTGAGATACCAATCACTAGGCAATTGATAAATGACATGCTGGGTCTCCCTCTGGGAAATATCAATATCAATTCACTAAAGTTCACACCCGCTGAAGACAAAACTGTTGATTTATGGTCTGCACAGTTCAATTTAGAAAATGATATTAGGCCCAAAGGCGTACAAAGGGCGATTAAGAGATTAAAAGATGTTGGGTTATTGTTTAAAGTCAATTTTTTGGTTCTTATTTGTAACACCCTTGGACAAGCCAAGAGCATGGGCACATGTGATGTATCAATGCTTTCAAGAGTTTTAGAGGATTTAGATTTAAGCAACATAGATTGGTGCTCTTATGTGTTAGAGTGTTTGAAAATTACAAAACATGCATAAATTCTATGAGTGATACATCTTACTATGTTGTCCCTATTGTCCTATTGATGGTACCTATCCTACAACCTAACTTACTATAATGATTATACGTATTTATTATTGACTTAGTCACTGATGATTACACTACCACATCGGTAACGACTAATTGACTACTCATTGATCATTAATGATTTACTTATCTTTTTTTAACATATAAGCTTATATACCTGGAGCATGTTTCATGTGATGCGGTTACGATCGATCGTGGAAGACCTACTATATGTTTCTGGGATGTGGAAACCATGCGGTTACGTGAGGAGTATGAAATCAGAAATGGTGGAATTGGTTCTGGTGAACTTCAGGATCCTTACATACCACATGATGGCAATGCTGAAAATGTCAACTCGGCGAATGGATCAGTTAAGGTTAGAAGATTTCCTCATCATTTTTTCATATTTATCACATATTACTAATCATTCATAATGTTTTCAGGAATACCTTTCCACCATTGAAAGTATGTTCAATAAGCTAGTTGAGGATAATAATTTGTTGGACTCAAAACTTGTAAAAGCAATCGAAAGACATCCTCTTGTTTGTGATTTCTACGAATGGAAAGCCAAGATCAGAATCTTCCATAATGAAGCATCCGCGAAATATGGAGGTGGCAGTTCTACTGATGCAGGCAACATTGAACCTTTATCCCAATGGTGGTCAGACAACTCATAACATATTAACAAGTCATGTCAAATGGATGAACACTCTGTTAAACTGTTCCACAATTCACCCTTTCCAAACCTTAGCATCGGGATGACACAAGAGTTTGCTGATATCATCAGCAATTCACCATTGAAAGATATCATGAAAACTCCAAAGACCATTGTCAAAGTCCTCTTCCATTATCAATTGTTCCTATTCACAGTGATGATGTTGATGTCCGCGCAAGAGAGTTAAGGCCAAGAAATAAGCCCCATGTACTACGTTCTCCGTTCATTGTACGGGCAGTTGATGTAACCAAATGTATATCACGTACTCAGAAGGACCTATCTGAATGAGTTTTCTCAACACAAGGTCACCCACGGTACATACAAATTTATTCATAACTGATAAAATCAAAATTATTTAAGTTTTAACATTTTATTTTATGCAGTGACGAACTTTTCAGGACTTGTGCTGGTGTAGCTGCTGAACGCTTTCACATGGAAAGCTTTTTCCCCAAATGTGAACTTTTTGGACACGTACTAGATTGTTGGAGTCATCTGTTAAATTTCGATGAAGATTTGCGTTCCAATTTATCTACTCGCAGACTATTTGCCACTACTACGTTGACGGTACAATTTTAATAAACATTAGCAATCCTTAACTATGTAATAATATAATATTGTACGTTTGCACATACATGACTACCACATTTTCACATTACATCTTCAATTTCATCTTTCTATTACACTACTCACAAACATTATTAACAACCTCTGTAATTTCACTATATATCTTCTTCACAGAGTTTGTATCTCGAAAATACTGTTTTGACAGAGGAAGATCGTTAGAACTTTTTTTATGAAAATTTGAGCCTATCCATTGACGATTTTGATGGAACACTGCGCGATGTTCAACTAATATGTTTCTTTACCCACTTTTTATAATTACTCATTGTTTTTAATAATTTATTAGATATTGATGTAACCTTTAGTGAGTGCATTGACAATACCAACACTAAAGTATTTTAAATCATATACTTAATATTTGTTTCAACTATTCATGCCAGCCGTGTGAATTTCATATTTTCCTTGTCGTACTCGACTTTCAACAACCAGCCTTTTGGATCATTGACAACATCAAAAGAGATGTCGACACCCACGACACATATGGTTTACTACCAGACATCATTGTAAGATACATATACAACTTGAAATTATTATTTTATATAAATCCATTTTTTTAACATATAATCCTATATCATTTCCAGCATTCATACATGAGTAAATATTTGCGGAATGTTCACCATCCAAACGTTAAAGCCTTTTCACATGTCCCAAGACAAATCCCTCAACTTTCTTGGTCAACAGTAAACACTAGCACTGACTGTGGTACTTTAACTATGCGTCACATGGAGACGTTCATGGGTGGAAACATTAGAGATTTCAAAACTGGATTCAAGTTAGAGTCGCTTGCACATGAAAACCAATTATCTAGACTACGGGTCATATATCTTTGCAAAATAATAAATTCTGACTACAACCTGCTCAAGGAGTCAATCCTTCATCAGGTAACGAAATTCCAAAAGCTGAATGCATCTAACCGAAAACAACTACTGAAGGATGCTGCAACCAGGATACACGACAGGCTGACTGAATTTGGTTAAAGAATATTGTGTTTAAAAGTCTTTTTTGTTTACCTTCTGGGATGAATAATATGTTATTTGCTTTTTCTTTATTATCTGGATGGCTCAATGCAGCTAACCTGTCACTATATTGCTTTTTGATTATGTACCTCCCTTTAGTCTTCATATCATATGAAAGTGTCTTTTCTAAATCATACATGACAGTCTCTTGTGGTTATTGTTAATTGAATCTTATAACTTATACCTTTTAAAGATGGCTTTTATATTACACACCTGAGTTGTTTTGGCATGTTACTCGAAACTGATATCTTAATGATTTAGACCTTGACATCACAGGATACATGTGTAGTATGAACTTATATACTTTTTTTTAACTACTAACAACCCCACTTATTTCTGTAATAAACCATCATAAATGATGTGGATACCCAACTAATACATCAATGCACATGTAACATGTGTAGCCTTTTGCTTTTTTATTTTACTCCACTAAACCATAGCTCTTACGTTCTCTAAAATCACATATCGAAACAAAACAAACATTACAAGTATCAAACCATATCATCATACATTACAGATGTACATAATCAACACACCCATCACCATCTACGTAAAAATTGTGGCTGTATATAATAGCCACAAACATCACCATCATCATAATATCATTAATAGATTGCACCAAAAAATTATCTGATAAAAAAATAAATCGACAAACAAAACAAAATGATGTTATTGAATTAAAAAAACCCATAAAAAAATAAACCCACAAACAAAACAAATTGATGTTATTGAATTTAAAGAAACCCAAATGCAGATGTGCAAACATAAGTTAATAAACTGTTAATGATATACTAAAACATCAGTAAACTAACACTGAATCTAACTTCAATTGGATTTCTCACGCGCAATTCTTACTTTGCAAGTCCTCCAATTATGATTCACATATAAGTTGCATCCTGTGCACTTTCGTGACCCACTTTTAGAAGATGCAACTGCCCTCTCCGCTGCACTAACCATCCGTTTCTTAGTCCCACTCCCTTTATTATGCATCATTGGTGGGACATTAACTTCAATCTGCTCTGGAATGATAACCCCAAATAGCCTAAACACAGCTTCATCACTTTCATCCAATGCAATAGTGTTATCCGAATCTTGCTTAAACACCTTCCTCATCGTACGTGTTGTCCTCATAAACTCTTCTAATTTATCCTTATCATTCTGAAGACGCTCCAGACAGTACTCCAAGTTACTATATGCTTCGATTAACAACTTAAAAGTTTCATCTTCCAATTCAGCAAGCCCATTCTTACTAACCAACAAATGGCTAGAAATAATATCCCTTCTCCACCTCCGCATAATATATTGCTCCGGTATCTCCTCAATGTGATTATTCTTCAGAACTGCAAATACATGTCGACACAAAATACCCATTTGCTTGAAGAGTTCGCATATACATTTTACATCCTTTTCTAGCAACTTCAGTTCCACCTACATCAAATTTAATACATACTTTAGACACATTTTACAAAAAAATTATTTATTAGCTTATATTCTTATAAACATTACTGATGCTTTTACATTCAGTTGAATTTTAGGAACTAACCTTACACTTTGTCTTCACTTGTCTCCTTTTTTCCAAATGTGTAATCATTACTATCTGCCACCCATTAATATTTTCTACACTATCAATTGAACAATTCCATGCTCCTTTGTATATCTCCTTTTGAATTTATGCAAAAACTGTATTTGTATACATTTTTGTTGCATGTTTCTCTAATCATGTGCCCATCCCAAATTTATGTCTGATTCTCTTAGTTTCATTATCAAGACGACGTTGCATGTTACATTGTTTTCCAATCGCCGTGTCATAGTTCACCATGAAATACAAAAGGAAATTCCCATGATGCGAGTACTTATTAAAGAATGAATTCGCACTTTTATACCTGGAAGTTGTTTTCATCAGACAATGCATTGGCATTTCCTTAAAATAAGTTGGTATCCATGACGTCCGCCTACGATACATGTCTTTAAACCATCGTTTATCTTGCAGATTGTGATCCTTCATCAATGACTTCCACGTTGTTTCAAAATCAATAGGATATATATATATATATATATATATATATATATATATATATATATATATATATATATATATATATATATATATATATATATTCCATACTAGTTTGTTGAAGCATTTTCTGAAATCCGTGTTTTTCAAAACATCCCCACTCACCTGATACACAACCTTTTTAAACTTCAAATTATAGATATATTTTAACATATAAATGTACATTCATCAACATAATTAAAACCTCATTATTTTTACCATATGTACTTCAATTACCCACAAAACATACCTTTGCCTCTAGTTTTTTTGTTATATGCCATAGGCAAAGTCTATGCTTTGCATTCGGGGATACAGCCTCGACTGCTTGCAGAATCGCTAGATCCTGGTCTGTTAACACCAATGTTGATTCTTTTCCACGAGCCTTTAAAAAAGCTTCAAGCAACAAACAATAAGACTCTATTTTCTCATTACTAAGTAGGCTAGCACCAACAGTAACAAATCTTTTGTGATTATCAATAGTTGTAAAAGGTACAAATACCATTCCATACCTAAATAATAGTATTTGTAATTAATAATGAAATCATACAAACATATTAATCCAAAATACACATCAACGAAAATAACACGCATTTTTACACTTACTTATTTGATCGAAAGGTAGTGTCAAAAGATATCACAACTCCAAACTCCTTGTAGAATACCTTATCTGTTTCATCAGCCCAGAACATAGCATTTAACACACTATCGACACATTTATACTCAAAGGAATAATCTGGATAATATGTTTTCCTCTCATTCATTTTATTCAATATTAATTGCGCATCCTTGTTGCCTATAATGTTATCCAACTTTTTTCTAAAATTTTTGTAATCACTCTCTTCGGGACCAACACTCATATCCACCTTTTAACGTAGCACGAAGTTTATGCGCCTTTGTTGCACCCACATTTGTCGTTGCTGCGCATATAATAAACTCCTTGTCTGCATAATTTAATTTTCTAGCTTTTTTTGAATGTCTGCGCTCTTCTATGGTATAAAGAGGGTGGTTATGCAGCTCTTGAAACTCTCTAATTTGAAACTCATTTGTTCCAATACTAACACGTTCAAACTTTATCAATGATTTACAATTTGTTACAATAAAGTTTGAATTCCTATGTTTTCTTCCACCATTATTTGTATCCATTGTATCCAGGCTTCTATCTGGTATTTTCCCAGCGCGATTGCAAACTACATACTTTATCTTTATTATTGATTTTTCATGCCGAAACCTTGTAGTTGTGTTCAACCGAACATCAAACCCCGCATGTTCTGCATATTTTCTATACATATTGATTGCATGTGTCAGTGATTTGAATGTAACCTGATCATCAGGTATCAATTCTTTCGTGACACTAGGTTTCCAGAGCTGATTAGATCCACCAGGTGAATATAAAATACTATTGTTGACACTTTCATTTTCATCAGATTTCGTACCTGATCTAAACAGTTCCAATTAAATTACATTTATATAGATGATGATCCAAACAGTTCCAATTAAATTACATAGATGATGATCCAAACAGTTCCAATTAAATTACATTTATATAGATGATAATTTTTGTAAACATTAACTATAGTTCATTACCATCACAATCATCAAGACTTTGACCTGATTCATTGTCACTCTCATTTTCATCAGATGTATCCTCGTAGCCACCTTCACTTTCTTTTGTAGAGTTATCTGTTCCACCACAACAGATATATCAAATATTTGACTTTATTACACTGCCATTTTTGTTATATTACTTATTACTCATTAAAAACAACTATGGAATATAACTACTGCTATATAAATACATTTAATCATTCCATTCAATAAAAAAGTTGTTTTGCCTAATAAATAGTTGCGACCATTAATGATTGTCTTAACATGTATTTTTCAATTATCAAAATACAACTACGATTTAACAACGAATTGAGTTCAAATCAAATAAATTCTATACTGAACCAAAAACATTTATAGATACCCCTGTTCCATCATAACTACATTAAATAAGTTGTGATTACAAACAATCATTCACATATAACCAACATTATACAACTTAATTGAATTATAAGTCTACATTTGAAATAAACATAACTATTTTGACTAATAAGTAGTTGCAAACATTTATGATTGTCTCATCATATATTCTCCAATCATTCCAACACAACTACGAATAGACACCAATTCAATTCAAATCAAATCAATTGTATTCAATGATGATTGAAACACTAACATTTATAAATACCCCAGTTCAATCAAAATATTTGAATAGGGATACCCAACCAATAACAATGCATATATATATATATATATATATATATATATATATATATATATATATATATATAAATGTTGTTTTTTATTCATTATTGATTGAACTAACAATAATGCACATTCATTAAATCATTTGTGGTTACAAACCTGTTCAAAAACTGTTTCACCATAAAACCACATAATTATTTAAATTAAGCAATGTTTCACATATAAGAAAGACTATGCAACCTAATGGAATAATAAGTCTAACTTTAAAATAAACAAAACTGCTTTGCCTAATAAAATGTTCCAAACATTATTGATTGTCACCTCATATATTCTTCAATGATTTCAACACAACTACACATAGACACCAATTGAATTCAAATCAAATCATTTGTATTCAATCATGAATAAAACAACATTTATATATACACCAGTTCCATTACAAATACATTAAATCATTTATGATTGCAAACATATTCAAACACTTTTTCAACCTAAAACTACATAATTCCATAAATTAAGCAATGATTAACATATAACCAAGATTATACAAGTTATTGGAATAACAAATCTATATTTGTCACTGGTAAATTATATATGTACATACAATACATTCTAATCATAATTGAATTTAAATATTTTTCACATTATATTTGTCACTGGTAAATTATATAAGGTCTATGTATTTATTAACCTATTCAGATTTGGCGTCAACATAAGACCACACACGTTGGAAAAAATAACTCTATATTTGTCACAATTTAATTACCCACGTACATACACAACATCATAATCATCACTGAATTTAAATATTTTTCGCATTACACCCTACATATTCATTATTGATTATACAATTCTAGCAATCACTATTGCTTTTACATTTGTTATAAACTTACTTCACGTTTGAGTCATTCATCACTATAAATCAATTCAATCGAACTGAACAATTATATTTCGTTTTAGTAGAAACTAACACTTCTTTTTCGTTTCACAATATGATTACAGTCAAATAATAATTTTTGAAATCAAATACACATACCTTCATCTTCATCACCTATATCGAGCATTGAATTGAAGTAACATTCATCGCCATAAAAATCCCCACAAACGACGTTCTTCATCGCAGCCAAATTCAATTAACTTATCATAATCTGATTCCACACGACTACAACAATATTGTTGTAATATTTTGGAAATTTCGATTCCACCTCTAATGTCGGCGATACGGACTTTAGCAATAACCGATATGGTTTCAATAACTTCTATCCAATTAACGTTCTTTATCGTTCTGGCTTCAATCATGGAAAAGCGTCTGTTACATGGTTATTTAATACGTTTAGGTTATGTTTATGTTGCCTAATTACTGTTTACGTAACTACATACTTTCCTGTTTTTGACCCTTATGAATCGATTGGTCCACATTTGTTCAGGTGTTTCTCAACCTTTTAGTGTTCTCAATATACCTTGTCCCTATATATATATATATATATATATATATATATATATATATATATATATATATATATATTAGTTAAAGGGTACATGTGTTGGTTGTCACAAATTGTAACATTCCTTAGAAACCCGTTGGTAGTCCAATACCTTCTACATGTCTTGCAAAAGTATTTTGGTTGAAAAAGATTGTAGTTGTTGTAATAGAAAAACTTTGTGTGTGATGAGTAGCATCTGGTACAGTTTAAAGCTTATGGGGGATGTTGGGCAGCTTGGTGTTGGTTTGAAAGGTTGCCACGACAACAGGTAGGGCTACCAAGGACATCACTGGTGGCTGAGACAACGATAAAGAGGCTGGCTGGCTGGCTACGTTGATCGGTCTGTCCTCCCCATAAGTTGTTGAAAAATGTGCATTATTACGATGTTTGTTTCCGAATGTGTTTTGAGTAGTGTTTGAAGCAACAAGAGTTTAAAGGATGGCGAGAGAGGATGGGTGGTCCGAGTGGGATGGTTGTGTAGGATGAGATCGAGAAAGATGTTGCTCCTCAAGAAGGAGCATAGATCGAGCTTGAAGAAACGTGGGAAGAGGGATACGGTGGTGGGTAATTGTGGCAATCATTTTTATGTTATGTGACAACCCATTGATCAGGACGCCACTAAATTCATGTCGATTATTAGAGCATTAATATTTACCAAACAATTGGAAAGCATGGTGCGGAGGTCGTTGTCGAGTTCAATTGCACAATCATCCTTGTAGTCGCGGAAGAGTTCCTCGAAACTTGTCGTTGTAGAGTTAATGGTCGATCCCTTTTTGAGATGGTTTAGTAGATCCACATCTTGACCAAGGAATCTAGTTTTTACCATTCCGAGACCGTTTGTCCAGTGGGGTCGAGGATCCATAAAGATATGTACCCGATACAATGAGCTTCAAACAGTTCATGCCAAGCATCATAATCAAACTCATTGATATCAAGAATGAGCAAGACATTGTCTTTGATGTTGTTAATCATGTAGAGATTTTAATTGGTGGAGGGTTATCAGCCACGAGAGATACCTTGGGAAAGAAGCAAAGAAAATAGAAAAGAAAGAGAGATATATGGCGGCCGATGGTACTGCTTGAGTAGGGGATCATAAATTTGATTAGATCTTTGATGCCATATATTTTTCTTTTGAAGAGAAAATCTAATCTACTTTTAAACTACTTTTTAATTTCACCCATGTTCATGACAAGATTTAAACCTTCAATCTCAAGGAGGAGGACAATACCGGATACCGCTGGGCTTCCATGAATGATTTCATTAGCATTAAAACGAATATATACAAATTACAATAGACAGGGGCTATAACTAAGACTACAAAATTACTTGACTAGGTATGTCACTATAATCACAATCTCATTAAACATTATATGCATGTTCACTGTGAAGTTAATATTAAATCAAGATTTAGAGATAATGAACAAAAAATCACTTTTATATCTCATTACAACTCCTTAGAATACAAAAATATACCGTATATGGGTTGGTAGCAAGCTCAAACAAACTTTCGAGTTCGTATATGTATATATAACACAAATATGTACAAAATAGATAAGTAGAAGTTAATTAAACAATGTCACAAGCCTTCAGGTCCTCCGATGTTCTCCAAGTGTTCGAGGATCAAAATCCACAACCTTAGAAACACCAACTTTTGAAAAAACGCCTCTACTCTTGGTGATTAATCGGGCATTCCTCGTGTCACCACTATCTACATTCTCATCTGTTTCTTGATCATCAGCTTTCTTTAAGTCGCTAGGTGGCAAGAAACAGTCCATCGAAAGACCCTTTATGTTAAAATCCAACTCTTCAATCGTCCAAACCTCTTCCATTTTGGTTCGCGAATGGCTTTGTGAGTTCTCACCATATCGGAACAAGGAGACTAGCGTCCTGCCGCCATGAGCAATATTGATTCCGTCAACAGTTTGGTAATCTTGAATCGATGATTCCATGGTTGTTTCCCAGAAGACGCTGTCACTTCCATGAGCTTTGATTCTAATGAGATGCGAGTCTTTAAGATGGTATAGAAGCCCTGTCTTTTGACTAAAATACCCCCATATTGTGTGGTGGATGATCTCGACGTTTTTGCTGCTTCTTAGTTGTAAAGACGAAGGTTCTGCTTCAAGCTTTAAGACAAAGCAATCTTCTCCATTGATGGTCTTTTCTCCGGTGCAAATGGAGTTTGTGAACAAGTTGGCGGTTGCTCTTGGATCAAGCCCCTATCAGCATTCCAAAAATGATTAATTTAATATTTTTAGAGTATTGTTTTAAGATAATTATTAATTTAATGAAAGGTGAAAACTGAAAAAAGTAGGGAAAATGGATGGCACATCGGGTTGTAGGGTGATGTAAACATGTACTCAAAGGTCAAATTATACCAACCCTAATTTGGTGATATTCAATTTAATTTGGTGCATCACCCACAACCGATGGTAGATGGTAGATACCACCGAATTAAACAACTCTTCCTTAATTAATACTTAAATCAAATTATTTTTATCTTAGCTTTTAATTTACATAAATTCGTAAACTATATTAATAAGACCTAAATTAGTGATATTATTACTTAAAACTTTATAATATATTGACCTTTATAAAACTTAGTTTTACAGTTAAATGAATTGACATATTATTATGTATTTTTCATATAACTTTATTATTTTTCTTATAATATATTGAACTCTAGTATAATGAAACATTCATTTATATTAATTATTTTTGTTATAATTAAATTTAATTCTTTGAATACCAAATAGACATTATGGTCTAATGTTTATGCAATCAAACTGATATCTTTAGTGGAATTTGTTCTAGATTCTATCTTTATTAAAGTATATAAATGTAATTGATAAAGCAAAAGGGAAAATTGATGAAATAAACGTTTTAACATGTGTTGTGTCGAAAAAAAAAACGATAAAATACCTGCAAGGAACGACGGAGGGGTCTAGGGGGTCCACGTGACGCATGGGAATGGTGCCATGGAGTCTGTCTCCAAGCCAACTTTCCGTCACTGCCGGCGCTGATTTTAGCACCGGAAACCACCAGTTCTAATGACCAAAGGTCCGGCCTCTTTTGCCACAATACAAAACCACCCATTTCACCACAACCATTTCTCACACTCTTGATCTTCATCACACTACCACCAAGATTCAAACCGTTACAGTTCATGCTTATTCCATCTCCGGCAATGAACTCCGACGCCACCATCTTCACCTTCCCAACCGCAAACATGCTGTCCACAGAATCCAGAGCCCTTTCTCCTCCCGTCGCCGCTATATACTGCTGAACAATATATTTCGCCATTGAAGCCTCCTATAAACACAATCAAATTCATAAACTTTACACATGTACACCACCAAGGACAAAATCACAAAACAATCGACTGGAAAATGACTTACGATGGGGTGGTCATTGATGTTTGATTTGATGGTGGCTGGTTGACCGGAGGAGATGGGAAGAGGTATGAGTGGTGCTCCGACGACACCTAGCAAGAGCTGAACCTCTGCATTCCGGCCACTGTCCGTTGCATGAGGTGTAATTACTGGTTTCAAGGTCCTCCATACGGCGTTGCTGTTGGCGTCGAAGGTCTCCTCCGGTATAGGAACTTCAAGCACTGTTTCAAGGCCATCTTCGTTATCCAAATTTGGACACAAAGTCCTCATTTTTTTTAGAGAGAGAGAAAGAGAGAAAAAGAGAAGGTTGTGATTGTGAAGGTGTTTGGGTTTAATTGTGAGGGATACTAAATGAAGGTAGTGACTTTGATGTAAAGTGAGGAGGCACACAACATAGAAAATGAAACAACAACCACCGACCCCCCACCCTTTTGTATCGTCAAACTCATTCTCATAAGTCATATGTCGTGTCTGCACGCTCTCTAGATACAAAATTTATGTTTAATATTAAAATAATAAAATTTAAAGATCATTAACTTAAAGATTGAATTTTTAAGTGATTTGAATGACATGTTATAACTGTTTTTCTGTTAATGGAAGGAATAATTAAATCTAATGATTAATTAATGATGGATTAGGAATGGCCGGCGGCGGTATAATTGGAAGTGGTGGAGCGGGCATCGACACTTGCATGTTAGTGAAGATGCCGGGATGCATTTTGTAGTTTGTAATGGTGGCGCACCGGCAGCTAATTTGGCGGTTTGTGGGTTGTGGTGGTGACACGTATGAAGTTGAGAAATTGATAAATTCATTATTTTGCTTAAACAAATACCTTAACCATGTTTAAAGAAATACCTTAATCATGTCATGCACGTTCTCTTAGATTTTTGTGGGCCAAATTCAGTTATATCCATCACCCATTCTTAAGTTATGTTTATTTAGGTTATAATTTAAACAACATATTTAGATCTATTTTAACATACATTTTAAAGAAAAAAGTGCAAATGCTTTGGACGGTTTATTTTTGTTTGGATACCAATGATCTTTAAAATTATAAAATATAATTATTTTAGCTTAGTTTTAAGCAATTTCTATACATACCACATTGCTCTATATCCCCTCCATACAGTGGCGGAGCTACATGCAGCGTTGTAGTATTTAAGCATCCCTAAAAAATTGTTATATGTATATAAAAAAATTATTTGTAAAAATGTTCTATGTTATTGTACCACCATCTAAACATAT